TTTCTGCTTTATTAATTGCTTCGTTCTTTATTTCATTTATTTCAGGTGTATCAGTTAAAATTCTACTCTTTCCAGGTTTCCTTCCTCGTCTAGCTGCTTTTCGAGGGTCTGCTTTTAGAAACGGGCATACAGATTCCGGCGTTATTTTGTGAAGCTCTTTTTTCGGAGTGATTGGTGCATTTTCCATATCTTCACGAGTCTCATCCAGAGAGAACTGACAAACAGCAGTAGACTGAGTTTCTGTATCCTGATTTGTATGCCGAATTTCAGATGGTCCAGCAATATGCATTACCTCTTCTACACTATCATTGGGTTGTTGTATCTCCGAGTAGACATTAAGATTTTCATCATGATTGCAGTTGAAGATGATTTTCGACCCTTCCGTGAGAGATTGACTTTGAGTACAATTATCTGAAACTGTGGTCAATGGCTCGGGTCGATCAGTAACAAATGAGCATAAAAAATCTTCTTCACTGAATATATCTCTATTAAATGGGCAAATGCCTGTTACTTCGAAATTTTTAATAATATTTTTGGGTGTGAAAGCAAGAGGATATGCATCACCGACAATTTCTGAAACGTTGTAAATTGTGATAGGTTTTCCAGGGTGATTTAGCATCCATTTATCGGCTGCTTTGTTGTATTGCGCCTTAAATGGTCCAAAAACGCAACGATCTAAAGGTTGTAAATTATCTGACGTGTGTGGAGGCAACGTGAGCAGAACTATACCATTATCGACGGCTTTTTCAATGATATCAATTGAGATATGTGTTTCATGGTTGTCTATTAACAAGAGGACCGGACATTCTTTCGTAGGTTTTGCAAACTTTATGAAATGATCCAGATATTTCCTGAAGATCAATTCAGTTGACCATCCGAATTGGTTAGCTGCACCAATCGTACCTGGAGGAGCACCTTTTAACATATTGTCTTTTAAGAAAACTAGGAAATATTATCAAAGGGGGAACTGAATTTCCAACAGCATTTATACAGGCAATCATGGTGTTATTTACTCCTCTTTCTCCTGATGTTAATTTACCTAGCTGTTTTATTTTCTTTGGAGCCAGCACTTTTCTCGGATTATGAACTGTGGATATCCCAGTCTCATCCAGATTATATATGTTTTCGGGGGCAAATTGGTGTTTTTCAATTACTTTTTGGAGGTTGTCAAAGAACTTAGAAACATTAGGTCTGTTAAAACTACTTGCTCGCGCCAAACTGGTTGCTTCAGGCTTCCGTAGAGACAAATGTGAATGACGTTGACGATAGTATCTTAGCCAGCCTATGCCAGCCATTTTGTGTTGGTGCCAGCTATTTGGGATATTTTGTTTTTGCTTCATCACCACAAACTAGTATGCCAGTTCTCTGACTTGCTTAACACTTAATCCCATATGTAGGTAAGCTGCTTTTTCTAAATATTCTTCTAGCTGTTTCTCTTCATCCTCATTGAATACTTTCTTTACGTCATTTCTCAAAATATCTACACTGTTACGATCCAGATCCTTGTCCTTATTCATGCGAAGGTATTTAAATATCGTAGATTTTGGTATTTCATATTTTTCTGCAACTTTTTGTAAAGAACATCCATTTCTTGCCTCTTTAACTGGCTCAGACAATGTCTCTGGACACAGCTTACGTCGCGTTTTTCCATCCTTACTACGAGGCACTGAAAAAAACAGGACAAAATTACTTCTAATTATGAATTTACTAATAAAGTAATAAATTAAATCCAAAGTTTGTACCTGTGGACAGTCCACAGGTACATACTCTTTGATGTCCATAGGTAAAAATCTGACATTATAACCTAAAAACATATTACCGCCATAGTCGGTACTACTTTACACTGTTATACCACTGAAAATAGATGTTTAACAATATACACTACATTCTGACCCAAGATAATGATATATACTCTGCATATATTCACAAAAATATAGAACGAAAATGATATAAATACTTACTTTTTTTGTAGAAAACCTTTAACAGTCCGTTACCAGCTACACAATAACAAACACAAAATGGCTACTAGTCAGTGTTGCCATACATCAAAAATACTTTACGGATGCGTTCAAATCATTCAATTCCTATATATGTATAAAATGAAATCTGTCTAACAACAAATTAATAAAAAAAAGGTCAATAATGAAGAACATTGAAGCAAGATATGCAAAGAAAAGGCTTCTCCGGGCATTGTGAACAAAACGTTGTCACCTTTTTAGACTTGTTTTTAGCCAACTTTCTACCGTAAGAAGCTACGTTAATTTTGTAGCAATTCACGCATGTTCGCCTGCATGTTCTGGCTTGCCCTTCTTTTTTTTGCAGTCTGTGTGCCATTCTTCTAGGTGTTGCAACTGGAACATCTTGTTGGCTGCAAAACGTCTTTAGTAATGCCAGCCGGAAGTCTGCCATTTGTATTTTCTTGCCAGTGACGCTTTGATACAAGATCAGTGCATTGACTACTGCTGTGATGAGGAGAAGGTTAATCGCATACTTTTTGTATCGATTTCCTCAGTGGAGTTGAGTAAGCAGCCATTTGATCGGACAGATCTACAGCCCCTTTGGCGCCGTTAAAATCAATGACTATTTTCGGTTTGGAAATAACTTTGTTGCGCTTTCGGACATTTTGGAACCGCACTGAGTGTTTTGTGGATAGTAATAGGACATCTCTTTTATCCTTCCACTTCATTACAGTTATGCCCTCACTGCTTTCCTTAGCTGCAAATTGGCCTCGCTTCAGTTTAGCATTTACTACATCCTTTGACAGATGCTTCCGGTTCTTCCGAATAGTGCCCACGAGATGAGTCTCTGCATTCAGAAGTTTTTTGACAAGATCCACACTGGTGTACTAGTTCTCGGTCACTAGTGTATGTCCTTTGTACAGAAGGTCACTGCATAGAGACATAACGACGTTCAATGGTGTAGTATTGGTTTCATCGTTATTCTTTCCTGCGTATACATTTATTTTGTATGTATAGCCAGGAATGGTGCATAACTTGAACTCTTTTATACCATATTTATGCCTTTTTTGTTTATTGCATTGCCTAAAAATTATTCGTCCGCGAAAAGGCACCACGCTCTCATCTATGCAGATTTCTTCGGAAGGAGTGTAATTTTTTTGGAAGTTTATGTTTATTGCTTCGAGTAATTTCTCAATCCTGTGTAATCTATTGGATTTATTTTCTTCGTCTTGGTGAGAAAAGTGTAGCATTTGTAACAGCAGCTCAAATCGGTTTCGACTCATTATTGTTCGAGGAAAATTCTGTCCAAGTTGACCAGTAGTCAGATATTTTGGGTAATTTTACGACCCCCATTAAAATAATCAATCCGAAAAATCATCTTATCTCTGCTGCGGATGTAGGCGTCCACTGGCGAATCCGTGCAGATTTAGATGCTGAGTTAGAGGCTGTGATTTTTTTGATAGCAAAGCTATTTGTATCGTCTGCCACCATTTCAAATATTTCGTCTGATAATAAAAGATGATAGAAATCTGCCGGGTTCTTATCGACCATTCCTCTTGCAACTCGTGAATCTAATCCTGGGAATTCAGTGTAAGGGATAATCCGTTGATTGCCACATGGTAGATGATGACGCGGTGTGTGTACTTGGCATGGCATTTTCGGGTTCAATGCCGCTCGTGTCCGTAATGGATAGAGTTCGTCGTCGCTTCCGTAAAGGTGGTTGTAACTCACACTTTTCCTCAGACTCCGAACTTAGATGAAAGCTACCATTAAGAAAGGAAATTTCAATATTTTCAATCTGCGTCAAAACGTCATTTGTTATTTCAAAGTCTTCAAAACCATCCATCATTCACACCACACTTTACAGTCAGGCAGGACACAGTTTATTTCACTTTAAATGTAAACCAGAGTTAAAAACTTTCACTAAAACAATCCATAAATGTATTATGAAAGATAAACAAATGCGCGTGACCTTGCGTGCGATTAGTATGCTCCATACTGGCACGTGTCAAGCGCAGCGCTTCCGAGGATATCCCGGAAGGGCGCGGGGAGCAAATGCAGATTTGCAATGCAGTTGCGCCGTGGTGGTCACCGGTGATCGACAGCAATTATATTGTGAATTATTTTGATAATAATAAAAAAAAATATATATAGATCGGGGTTTTTAACTATTTTGAATCATATTTGCCAATAAAATATAATTTTTTAAATTTGTCGATATCCTGAATCGGCGTCGGCCCTTATGGAAAGTATAGTGGTGGTCACCGGTGACCACCATGGCGTTCAATGTGTTAATGTTAGGTGAATCCACATATCCTCGAGGCGGGGCCGGGAAGCCGGCGCAAGCGCGGGGTTCGCACTGGGCGCAGATAGCACGCGTGTTGTGAGGCCCGTGCGCACTTAGAAGCCAACTCCTCCGCCCCGCCTCTTCTCCCGTGCTTGATGAATAATTTTATAGCCGGGAATTTTGTACTCAACTAAAACACTATTAGCGTTTAGCCATGTTTCATTCAACGCTACCAAGTCAAAACTTTCACTCAGTATTGTATTACAAAGATTATCAAATTCTGTCCCTAAGCCACGTACATTATATAGTCCAAGCTTTAGTTTAGACTTTCTACCCATAAGAACAAGGCAATATAACTGCTATATAACTTGCACATTGCAAGTTGTTATCAACTTTGGTAATAATAAAGTGAGTCATCAATTGTTTACAATAGGCTACAAGTTTGTGATGCATTAAAATGACATTTGTAATATTAAGTAATATGTAACAATTCAATAATTTATTAATATAAGAAGCAATTTCGTTATTAACTAACTAATTGACAAGGTTGTATTTTGCAACAAGTTTTAAAAAATCATTTTTATTTCTTACAGTAAGGGTTGGCGACTTTTTATTTTTCTTTGTAAGTATTTTCCCATCTTGCACCCAAACAAACAAAAACTTAAGTTTATTTTTGAAATTTTCTTTAGCTTTTGATAAAATATTTCGTTTAGTCCCTGATAAATGTTCATTAATGTAGACAGGCGTAGATGTACCTAGTAGGTTGAGGACGGCCGTAGACAGCAACGACTTCTTATCATCATCTTTCTTTTTTCTTGATTGCTTTAGAAAAAGGTCTCGCTTGTACTTATGCACAAAACGAACGATAATGCGGTTTAGAGTTTTAGTGTTAGCGTTAGTAGTATTTATAGTCTTTATACGGTAACAATGGGATATATCATTACGACTTATGGTAACGTCAACTTTCTGACCCAGTTTTTGCACATGTTCGTACAAGTCTTCATTTTCAGTGATAGGCACCCCTTGTATTTCTATGGAACTGTCACGGCTATGCCCCTCATACAAATCGATACGATCTTCCAGTTCTGCAATACGGCGCCTGTCATGCTCGCAATCCCGTTTCAGGTCTTCGATGCGCTTGTGTAGTTGGCTTACCTCAAATGTGTGCTTTTCTATTTCTGTTAGCCGTCGTAATATCTCTGCGTTACTTTTCACTAGGTTCTGTACAGCTGCATGTAGGGATGTTATACTATTTTCATCAAGTGATTTGATGGGTGTGGAGGCTGGTTCCATCGACAGAGATCGCGAAGAACTAGTGCTTGCATTTAAAATGGATTCATTTACTTACTACACAACTAGGGCAAGACCAGGCGAAGGATCTTTTCTTCAAATTTTGTATTTACACTTCACCAAGCCCCAAGCACTTGAAGTGGTAACTCTTCTTGCAATTTTGGGCATCACAAGATCGGCCGGAAGACTTCGTTACTGATTTTGCATTACAAAACAACACGTTGTTTGTTCGCCATATCAACCCAATAAGTAACGGTCACTGTGTTACAATTTAATCTTATTATTTAAGCACTTAACAGTAGTTGTTTTTTGATGACAACAAAATATAACTTATATTTATACACGAACTTTACACTTTGTATGAATAAGTATTGAAAAAACTACTTTTTTGTATTTAAAATCTGTGATTAATTGAGAGCTCAAGTTCACTATGCGATGTCAAACTACCCACTTGATTCAGATTTAGTATATTTTTTATCCTGTGTCGATACGGCATCGGCGTAATTGTCCTCGTTACTCACATCCTCTACATTCAACCTTGTTGGACCATCTTCCAAGATATACTCTATTCTAATTACTCGGAGACAAAATTAACACAAATAAACCAATGTTTATTTGTGTTCATTTTCACCCCAAATTATTTTCCAAATAAAGTAAACAATTTTTTTTCAGTCGAGTTTTTCAATAAATAATTTATTGTGAACCAAGTAGATTCCCTTAGTATTTAACAAACACATATAAATATAAACAAGAATTATCTGAAATTAAATCTTAGAGTTAACGAACGGAACTGAAAAGATGTTTACTAGTTGGAATTTCAAGGATTTTTTTTCCGAAGTCTCTATTGTGGGGGCCCCCCGTTTGTGGAGGCCCCGGGGCTTTCGCCCCGGTTGCCTTCCCCTAAATCTGGCAGTGACATGATGTCAATGCTATTGGCCGGTATGAATTTGCTTTAGTCTTATCTTTATTTGGTTTCAAAATGGGGACCAAACAATCTTTTTTCCAGTCAATAGGTATAACACAGCAAGACCATAACAAATTATAAACTTTTAAGATGATATTCTTTGTTTAATCTCTAGTATATTTTAGCATTTTATAAGGAATACCATCGAGGCCATGAGCCCCTACGAGTAGAAACTGCAGTTTTAAATTCTTGTATGTTTAATGGCATTTCTAAGTATTTACAATTATGTGCAGGATTCCTATTTACAAATGTCAAAGGGACCTCTGCGGTATCTGGTGTATGGGTAGTTCTCACGAAATCTCGAAATTCGGTTCCGATAATAAAATTAAAAATAGTGTGAATATTTCTATAATTTTTATATGGATTTTGTAGTAGTCGTGATATTAATTATTTGTTAAATAGTGGTCCCTAAAATAAGAGCTTTTTTTAAGAATTACAGGCCTTTTAATAAAAAATAAAGTTCGGGAATGATGACTTAGGTGAAGGAATGATTTTTATAAGCAATGATGTACATTTCAAAATAAAAATGCATAATTATTTTGTTAAATATTATGTATTGCAATATAAAATATATTAATTAACATTATTAGGAACTATTGTCCAGAAAATCACAAATGTATTGCAGTTTGCAACTGCCACGATTAATTAACAACTAAGTTTAATTGTTAGGGCACTTAATTATGATGACACATTAACTATTATAGTATTTCTTTACTTACTTAAAAATTAACTCAGCATCAAACTCTTTTTCACTTACTCAGTCTTAAAGTTAATAACACTCTTGACTCAAAAAAAAAACAAGAAAAAAGTAACATAATAATATTAATTTTCTTAGAACTGATCTAACTGGCAATCGACTCTAAATTATTTTTCCTACCTATTCAGTCTCGAAGATAAAAAAAAAACAGTCTCACATCTATAATATATTTTAAGCTAAATCGATCTCTTTTACAGAATAACACCCTCTTTTGATCAGTGTCGGGGGTTTGATCTTCTGCAGAACATCTTTCCATACAACTGTTCGTCCTTAATTGCTGGCCATTTCCAGAATTTGGTCCCTCTTTTCATACACTTAACTAAAGCGGCTTCCTCAGAAAATGAGATAAGTATCCCCGGATATTTTTGTTCGTCCCACCTCACAATGATATGATCACCTATCTTATAGCCGGACCGGATAGCAGGATTGTAGCCACTAGAAATAACAGCATTTAATGATGATGATTGTCCTTGCGGCTTAGTGTTCTTGGTACGTGTTTGTACTTTAGTGGGCTTTTTTATAATAGAAGGATTTGAAGACGAGTAATATCCCAGATGATAATGAGTACATTTTCCCACACAATCAAAGCAAGAAAGCTGTCTGAATTCTAGCACATCACCATTGTAAACAAATTGGCGAATTTTTTGAGTTCCACGGAATGCAGAGATATTGCCTGAATGTTTGACAAAATTTTCTATCTCTGCAATATTAGCAGTGTTAACCTCGAATAGCATTATCGAAGGACATCTAGATGACAAAATTTCCTTGAGTGCATTTAAATTCACAATATCTCGACCTTCAGCAACAGCTTTGTCGGCAATTCTTTTTAAGGTGCCACCTACACCATCTGGTGCACCTTTGCCATGACCTGGTTCTGAATAATTCCATGAGAAGAATTTTGTGCCCGGAAACAAATCATTTATATGGCGATATACAATATGGAACATGAATTTGTTCTTGTACTGGTTAACGGGGCTGTCGCTTAGCATATGGATTCTGTTAATGTTTATTTTCTGATTTTTAAGCCATTCAAAATCTGGTACCAAGTGCGCCCATACCGCCACAGTATCATGTCTGTTGGTGTCAGAAAGAAAGCAAAAAGTTTGGATTCTGAGAGCATCATTGTCACGCAAATATAATACTCCTGTGTGAAGTGTGACTTGTTGTCTTGCTCCTCCAAAATGTACTGTCTGCATCTCTTCGTAGTATTTGCAGTAATAATTTTCACTGAAGTCTATGTGAATAAGAACTTCATTCTGTGTCAATTTCCTTTTAAGTTCTGCAATCATCTGATACTGATGCGTTATTGTGGCAACATGTTTACAAACGAGAGGCATCGTCTCTTCTAACTGTTGCACCAGTTTTCGTATTGGGATCTTGATCTCTTTTTTGGCAGATTTTCGTACCGTCTTCATCTTTCCATCCTTCTCGTAAGAAGTAGTTTCATACTGCCATTGATGATAGGTCACCATTCTGTTTGGTTGTGGAAGATAATATTCCACGTTCTTATTCTTACAATCTTCACATTCTCGCATTAAACATTTAGTAGAATACACGTTGCATGTTTTCACGGCCAGAAATCTTGTTAGGTTACACCAAGGCAGTGCTTTATTTTCGTGCAATTTCATTATTATCAGTTCAACATTCGCATGGATCACACATTTGCAAGTGTCCCGTTCTTTGATGCTCGCCCAAGTCACCCAAAAAGGTCGAAACCTGCAGAAAGTTGCCAAGCTTACTTTATTATCGACCGTCGCCTGAAACTTTTTGTGTAAATTCTTCAGTGTGTCACATAATACACGTTTTTGTTTTATTTGTCTCTTTGGCCTGATAAAACCTTTTTTTCCTGGGATTCCTTTCCGGATGTGAAGTTCTCATCTTTTTACAAAAAATTCACAACGTCTTTCTTGACTTTCATTTGTTGATCCATTAATTTTTTCAAACCACTTTTTTTGTATGTGTCATGTTTGAAGATCGGCTTTGCTAAGAGGAGCAACTTATGATTCTTAAAAAGATCCGGTTGTAGAATCTGAAAATATCTCTGCTTTTCTATACGTTTTTTTAAGTTTGTGTATTTGTCTTTCAGTTGTTTAGTCATAACTTCCGACAGTAGAAGCTTCTTTTTTACAAGTTTTGGAACTTGGATATTTTGTAAGAGCGATGATACTTTAGCTTCAGGAGACGTCTGTTCATTCTTTAATTGTCTTTGACATCTCTTACGATATTTTTCCTTTTGTCTCAATACGTATTTCAGTTTTGCTTGTAATTTAGCTATTTTTGCATACAGCACTGCTCTACGTTTTCTTAGTCGCCGCCTTCTCCTAGCAGCCACAAAATTCCTAGCTTCATTATTATTTTGTAAAATCCGCTTCTATGACGGGGCCTGGGCTAGGAGGAGGTGTCTCATCTAGTAGTCTTGTTAGATTTTTACGTACTTTAGCTTTATTATCTCTGTATGTCTGGCTATTTTTCTTCCAGTTTTTTCTCTTATTCCTTCTTTCTCTTGAACTCATGTTTGATATCGACTTTACTTGGCCTTTCTCTTTCTTTTTTAGGTATTTAAGTCTTTCTTTTTCTCGGAGTGCCTCAAAACTTATAGGGTCAGATTTCATTTTTTCCCTTCGCTTCTTATCATATTCCTTCTTTTTTAATTTAGCTTCCTCTTCACTGAATTTCTTTTTTCTTGCCATTATTATGCCCTAAAACAAGATGTTACAGTTAAATGCAAGAGATTTGCTACAGCACGCTATAGTAAAAAATAATTCCAACACAGTCAAAATCATTACCTCCTTAGTCATCATTCCCTCACTGTAAATATATATGAGGTAATGATGATGAGCGAATGACGAAACGAAACATAACCTAAAAATACTAGTGACACGGCCATGCTTTAAACAAGGTTATTTGTGTAAGTGAACTACTCCCAAAACCCTTCTTCATCATGCATTAATAATTGTTAAAGTTACCTTTATTTTTTCTAGGACGTGATGTAATGATGAAAACAAATGTAATTTTAAAAAATTATGAATTCTACCTATTTTCAACAAAACCTCGAACGCGTACACAATCGATTCGCCATATTGGTAAAATGTCAGTGCTGCCAACTATCAAAAACAAACGGTAACGTTCACGTTTGATTGAAACAGCGTTCATAAATGAATTGTGAGTAAAGTTATGAGGGAATGATTTAATTAAATTGGACACTTGGTTTAAATTTTTTTAAATATTCATTTTTAGCTTTTTTATCCTAATGAAGAATAAATTCATAAACCCTTTTATTTTAGCATGAGTTAATGAAACTTTCATCGCTTTTACTTTATTAACTTTTTATTAAAAAATATTAAAGTAATTGAAAGTGGGACTTGGGACATAAATTATAACTAATACGCATAGCGACGGTGCTGTTCATTGCAGGGAAATATTACTTGCCACTATATATTTACTATTTTTTCGTGAAAACATTTAGGACAAGAATTTCGAGATTTGGTGAGAACGACCCGTATATTTTTTGAGAAATTCTGTTACCCATTCACTATATACATTTTTACATGGAACAGAAATACCATTAAACCTCCTGACAATTCTCCAGAGCTTTGAAATAGGAGTACATCGATTAAATGATTCACACAATGACATCAAACTTAAGTTCCTTTCCTTTTTTAAAATGAGCTTTTTCAAAGCTTGTAACTTTTTAAACTTCAGGTAACTTTCCTCTGAGAGGTTATGCCTAAATTCGATATAAGCCTTCCTACAATTATCTACAGCTGTTTTGCAGTTGTTATTCCACCAAGGCAATGAAACACGTTTCTTAAAAGCTTTTAGAGCTGATATTTGTGGTTGAACAAACTGTCTACTAGAGTGAGTAACAGACTGCTGCAGCGCTAGATTCAATAATGTTACCAGATCTGAATAACATTTTAATGGATTAGACTGGTCAAATTGTAAATTGTTATTTAATAAGAAATCAATATTTTCACTATATTTTTGCCACTCTACTAGACGGAAATTAAAATATGTAGGGAGTGCAAGTAAATTTTCAATTAAGTCTTTATTATTACTAATTTCTAATTTCGTAATTACAGGTAAATGGTAGCTGCCTAAAGGGTCATCAGAAACCAACCATTCACATCTCAAAGCCAAAGAGGGTGATACTAGTGTTAAATCCAAAGCATTCCTTTGCCATACACTAGAGCCAACAGTTGTCAGCTGACAATCATTTGGGAGTACTAAGTTGTTGTCATTGATGCTTTCAATAATATCGCGCCCACGTGAATCAATAGAGCTACAGCCCCATGCTGTATGCCTGGCGTTAAAATCGCCAGCAATCAGCAAAGGCCCACCAGGGATACTGCTGATTAAATAATCAAGTTTTGATTTAGAAAATGAAGGGTTACAGTTACCTGGACTATATAAAGACACAAGAGCAAATTTCTTGGTTTCCATAATACAATCTTACAGCTATATTTTGAATTGATTCACCAAATGTTGTATCTATCTTATGGAATTGCAAACTATTATGAATAAAAATGGCAACGCCATTATGGCGTTACCTGAATTTAGTCTAATTATATCATAACTTTTGAGAGTATACTGAATGTGTGGTTTTAACCATGTCTCAGAAATCAAAGCTACATGAACCTGATTCTCTTGTAGAAAATTTGTTAATAAGTATCTGTGTGCAGGTAAACTCTGAGCATTCCATTGCATTATGTTTAAAAAATCCATAAAAAAATTGTTTTGTTTCTTATTTTTATTTATTGTTTCCAAGAGAGTATCTTTTATACTCTGTGTGGAAATAGCTGTTTCATTGTTTTTGTTCATTGTGAGTGATTTGACAATTGACTCTACAACCATATTCAAAATAAAATCAGAGTTTAATAGCAATGCTAGCATATTCAAAATAAAATCAGAGTTTAATAGCAATGCTAGCATATCAGTGGGGCTTTGTTTCAAGGGAGAATAATTTCTCATTAATTACAGCAGAGTATAGTAATATAAGTTATTTACGGGATTGTTACCATGTACCTTGTTTTTAGCGAGTTTCCGATATTTCGGCACTGTTACAAGCGCCATGATCACGGAGTAACTGAAGTAATTCCGGGTAGGCTGTTATTGGCAGACATATCGGTCTACCCTCCGACGAAGTCTTTTATTGCGTTCGATACCCGTACCACTGTTCACATTCTCACTATTCACTCGAAACTGTTCTCGACACACAACACTTACAGTATCGGATCGCGACAAGCACACTTTTTTTGATTATTTCCGGTTTTACACATACGAACCAAAGGATTCCAGACACTCGACAATTTAAACCCGTCCTCACGATTGAAATTTTTATGTTTTGTTATTTCAATCGCTTCCCTGACCAATCTTGGTATGTAGTGGCGTTCTGTCGAGATAATCTGTGGGTTATGAAACTCAATGCAGTGGTTAGGACCAGAATCAATCAAATGTTCCGCGATGGCTGATTTCTGCGTATCGTTGTTCTTGATTGCTTTTATGTGTTCCCTCATTCGGCATGATACTGTTCGCTTTGTTTGGCCAATGTACGAACTGCCACAGCTGCAATCGATCTTATAGACACCAGGTTCCTCCAAGGGGAAGTTGTCTTTAGGAGACCGTAGGTATTGTGAAACCTTTCGCACAGGAGTGAAGACAGTGTTTAGTGAGTACTTATTCAGTATGTTTGAGATCTTGTCAGAAACTCCTTTGACGTATGGCAAATAAACAGGTTGTCTGTCTACTCTGTGTCTCTGGTGTCTTAGTTTGTGTCTAGATGGAAAATGTCCCTGGTATCCATTACTCTGTAAGACTCGTCGTACATGCTCCAACTCTTCTTGAAGATGTTCCTCATCACACAGGTCATATGCACGGTTCGTCAGTGAAGTCACTACAGAGTTAAGATGTTTAGTGTGGTGATGCAAGGAGGCGTTGAGATAGCGGTCAGTGTGTGTAGATTTGCGGTAAATGGAATGACCAAGCGAACCGTCATTTCTCACCCGAATCTTCACGTCCAGAAAGGCCAGACTTCTGTCTTCTTCCATCTCATAGGTAAAGTTGATTTTAGAATGGATACCATTTAAATTTGCCAAGTGAGACTCGACATCATGTTTGTTACCTCTTAATATACAGAATACGTCATCGACATACCTCTTACATAGTTTTATTTCTGTGGGTGCGGTGATAAAGGCTTTTTCTCCAAAATTCTCCATCCATATATTGGCAACCACTGGAGCCACGGGACTGCCCATTGCGACCCCATCTATTTGGAGGTAGTACTGACCCTGATATATGAAGAAAAACGTGTTAGTTGAAATTCCAACAGATAATGCAATAAAGCCAGTATCACAGTCATATCGACGTATACCTATTCCACTGGAAACCAAAGTAAGAAACAAGATCCAAGAACTTCTAGATTGTGATATCATTGAAGAGGTAAACGGTCCTTCAAGATGGGTGTCCCCAGTAGTACCTATATTAAAAGAGAACTGTGATTTACGTCTGTGTGTCGACATGCGGCGAGCTAATACCGCCAATATGCGAGAAAATCACCCCCTGCCTTGTATGGACCAACTGTTGCCGAAAATTGGTAAAGCGAAATATTTTAGCAAATTAGACATAAAAA